CATTTTTTAGTAAGGTGAGGAAGAGCTGATGGACAATCCATGTTACACAGGATAATGAGTGAGTTATGATCTGCATCACGGCAGGGAAGACCTGCATTGATGAGATCACAGGTACATCAAAGTTTGGAAATATGATCACTTACATAATATCCCTGTTTTACAGTTGAGGAAACTGAGGCAGTCAGAATTTAAATTTGTCCAGAGTCACATAGCAAACTTCTGAGGTCAGATTTGAACTAGGTTTACTGGAGTAACACATTAGAAAATAAAGGCAAGGTAGCTGCCCTCAAAGAACTTTCAATTTACTTAAGAAAATTCAAGGGTTTGGGGTTTTTTTTTCTGTCTGTTTTGCTTTGTTTTTAAGGTTTACTCTGATTTCCTCTGAGCCCTGGGTGCCTGGGCCTGGTACTTTCTTGAAGGCTACATTAAGTGAGGACAATCCACTCAATAACTCAGGAATACAGCTGGGAATAGACCTACCACTTTAAGTCCTGTTTAACTATTCTATCTTCTCTCTCACATGGCATAGGGCTGTCTCCTTTAATGAATCCTTAACTGATAGCAAGCAGCCTTACTTGGATGAAGCCACTGTGAAATAGAACAAAAAAGGCATGGGCTTTTTAAAAAATTGTTTTAGCAAGACATTAGGTGAAATCTTGCCATATATAGTGGTCTAGGTTCATTCATGTTTGTGCAGAACAAAGAAAGGATCCATTTTAGTTACCCTGGGTGGGTGGGTGGGAATAGTGTCTTAGGTATTTTTTATTGCCTTTTCTTTCCTCTGAGAAAGAATTTTGCCTTCAATGTTAAAAATAGAAGAAAAAAAGATACCAGGGATTAAATGAACATAAACCCTAATACAATCAATAAGTGCAAGGACAGACTATGACATCTGTATTAAGAGAAATGATGAATGCTTCCACATTATGGGAAGTGTTTTAAGTACAACTATTACAACTTAAAATAATGCTTTAGAGGTATGTAGGAACACAAAGAAATTTGTCTTCAGACTTTCAACCTTTTCTCTCGCAAAGATTTTTCAGTAACAATATGTTTGGGTCTGAAGCAAAGGGAAAAAAAAGGGGGCAGGAGAATTTCTAGCCTTGAGTGTTGCTGCCATCTACATGGCAGGGAAACAATAAACCCAAACAAATACAAAAACATCAGCTTCCTGGGTGGGTAAGCATCCAAACCACCGCTCCATCAAAATATAGTTTTAAAGGAGGAAAAAATAAATATCCTATTTTGGATGCTCTACTTAGCTACCATTATTAACATGAAATATTGATATTTACTGTCAATGACTTACCTCCTATTTTAAATTCTGGCCGTACATGGAGTAATTGGTTTTGATTAGATTGGTGAAATATACTGATTAGTTGAAATAAGGGCTGGGCTGAGGAAAGCTATTCTTTGACATGAGAATAAAGCCAAAGGCAGATTGATCTTGATTGTGATTGTGTGTGTTTATGTGTATCTTGGGAAGGTGAAGAAAAAGGCACCCTTCATTTTCTGCTAAACATTTTTTATATGCTTCCAAAATATGAAGAAAAAAAACGGCCCTCAATGTATTATCCAAGTAATTATGGCCAGCACATGATGCAAATACTGGTAACACAGCTGCAGGGCCTCTTTAAACATTTAGTAGATGGATGTGGGGCTATTTTTGAGATGAAACAACATCCCCCAACTCCATAATTGTCATGCCACTGTGTGTGAAACCCATTTACAAGTCTGTAGAAACTTGTGACATGACATAAACAAATCTTTATCTCAGCCAGATCAGCGCAGGATACAAACATAGCCTGGCGATGTGAAAGTCCCCTCTCCCTGGGAAATAAGCACATGGGATCAAAAAGCTGATTGATTACTTTAGAGATAATGACAATTAAAATGACGCTAAGTGAATAAATGATGGTGTTTGGAAGCATGTGGCAAATGATGGCTGCCACTGTATGATTTTATTAATATTGGCATTCTACTGGCATGTAGCACTTGGAGGATGATAAGAAGGCACACAGGCACTGCGTCATATGAAACATAATGTTAATAATACACTACAGAATAGTGCCAATTATGTCTGAATTCCATAATCCCTGAATACTTTGATCAATGACACAAACACATCATACTTTAGAAAAAAAAATTGAATCTGGGAAAATGATTGCATCAAGACAAGGTACCCATGCTGTTGTTCCACAAGCACACTGGAAAAGGATAGGTTACTCATCAAGATGATATTTTATATGCAATGAAAATGATATTTGGAGAAATGGGAAGAAAATGTGAAGTTTCTAACTATAGGGAGAATCACCTATATAAAGAGCTTCTTCTGAAAGCTGACATAAGAAGGGACTTGTCACAGTGTAGCTTTATTCTTGTTTTTCTTGTGGCAAGGAGGAGGCTCATGTGGAGAAATACCAGATATAGTTATAAGATAATGATACTGATTTAAAACAACAACCAAACATATAAATCAGAAGAAGGGAGGGAAAGCAGAAAGAGCACTGGCCTTTAGGGTCAAAATTGGATTTAAGCCCTGATCCTGCTACTGTATTTATTTGCCATCTTTCCAACTTCTTTGGTAGCTGTCAGTTTGAAAAGATCAAAATGCACATCAGACTAATAGACATACTAAAATACTAAGTATGGCAATGGTTTGTAAAAAGTGACTTTTTCTTTCTTGATGAGACATTTATGTCTTTTGACAGTTTTCTCTATAGCATGTCTTTTGCTTATTAGAAGAGGATAAAAATGGGATGTGGCATAATAGGTAAAGAAGTGAGAAGCTAAAAATTACACAATAAAAAAAATCTGAAATGAATATGAATTTTGTCATAATCTTTAGTTATTTGAAATTAATTTAATTTACTCATTCATTATTGGTGCAACCATAATAATATGGAGTGAGGAAACACATTTTTGAAATGCTGATAGCTTCTCTTTCCCTTTCAGGAACAATTTCAAAGTGGTCTTAATTTAGCCTTTTAAAACTGCAACACAAGGTTTCCTGCCTGAGGCTAATCTCCTAATTATATCTATATAGACAAGTCACACCTTCACCAAGATAAAAAAGAATTCACACCTGCCAGTTTTTATATCAGTTTTGGAAATATTCCCTTAATGAGCAAGCCAAAAAGGAATGATTAATACCACCCCCAAGGTTCAAAGAACAATGCAACAAAAGTGACTTTATAAATAAAATTGTTTATTTTATATCAGCGGGGGCCACAGATAGAAACAAAATACTAACTAGATAAAAAGAACATGACTGCACTTGCTAATCCAAAGATGACAATAAACGCTGGATCATGAAACAGTCAATGTGGGGTTTCTGGCTGCATTAGCAGATGGATAAATCAACCCATGGCCAATCTGATCAATTGTGAAACAACCATCTATTTCAAGTAGCCAAAACAAGCAAAATCACTGAAGACGGATGAATAAAGATTTTATAGGAATATCCTCAATGTCTTCTCAGGATTATTTTTTGATAATAGAAAATATTTGATGCTTCAAAAAGCATGGATATTAGAAATTCATTTGTTTCATATGTTTATAATGTACATGGGTGTACATGACAACAAATATACATATACCATCAAGCCTCTCCATTTTAGAAATTTAAATTGTCATTTGGAAATAATCTTTTATCTCAATTATTATACAATATAAAGCAGCAAAATCTGAAAAAGTACATATATATATATAATATATATGTATAACAGTAGACACTTTCTAATATGTAAAAGCTATTACTAGTTTTTCCTTAGACCTGAAAACAAATACTAAAGACTATGACAAAATACAAATTCAGTCCTATTTTTTTCTTGCAAATGGAAAATTGCTCACAAGTAGAAATAATAGTTGCAATTAAAAAAGAATAAGAATGATTTAAAAATATATCAATAAGGTGAAGCACACTGTAGTGGAAGGAACAATGCACTTGCTGTCAGAAGTTTCAAGCCTTGACTCATGAATTCGCTTTTGTGTTATCAATCTCTTAAGTCTTTGAACAAGTCATTTCCCCTCTCTAGGCTTCAGTGTCCTCATGCAGAAGATAAAGGACCTGATTCGGGTTCATACACTTTACAACTAGAAGAGACTTTGGAGGTCAACTAATCCCACATCCTCACTTTTAACAACAGAGTTATTGAGGCTCAGGCAGTTTAAGTGACTTGTCCAAGGTCGCCTATGTAGACCTGCTGGAATCTGACGCCAAATGGAAAAGATTTGAACCCAAGTCCTCTGATTACAAATGCAGCCCTTTCATGCCTCACGATCTATAATTCTGTGATTCTGGGAAAACCTTTATTCAGGCTAAGCTTGTGTAAATGTGAGAATTCCTACATCCAAGCCAGTATTGCCCTTCAAAATAGTCACCATGGGAGGCTGTACATTTATTCAGGTTGTATTACTAATGAGCCAATTATCTTTTAAAATAATCTGCAGGGACAGTTTCTGATCCTCACAAAAAAAAAAACCTGTCATTTACTTTGTAAGTAAACTTAATGCTTAGTCAAAAGAAATGCCGGTCAGTTAATCCTACATACTTTGTTCACAAAACTTGGCTCCAAATTTTTCCCAAAACCAAATTCATCCTCAGAAGATGAAGGTTTGCCATCATTCAGAATATTCAAAATAAAGTGCTAGAGATTCTGAAGGTAATTCCCAGAGATACAAAAAGTTCTGAGTAATAGGAACTTCACCGGAATAAGGCTCCCAAAGTGACTGCTTCAGTTAATTCATTTGGATGACTCTGACATATTTGTTGTTGTTTTAATTCCGTTTCATTATAGTAATAAGTAATCCCCCATCTAGCATCTTTGATGGGAAAAGTCACTTTTGTTTCAGCTTTTCAGGGGGATAATGTATATATATACACACACACACACATATGTATACATATATACACATATGTATGTGTATATATGTATGTATATATTATGTATATATATGTATGTATGTATATATATTAGTAATATGTGTATATTAATATATATGATATTGCTGATTTAGAAACTGTCTTTGGGGTTATAATATGAATTTTGGGAAATGGATTGTGATGCATCTAACCACTGATGGATGGGTGAATATCTGAAGGGCTTTCCTATTTTTTTTATTGTAGTTTTCCCCCTCTACTGTGATTTTTTTCATTGTAATATGGAGGTGACCCTGGGTTCTTGAATAATGTGTAAGCAGACTAAAAATTCTAGTAGGCCCCACTAAAATGAAAAGGATTTGGCTTCAATTATGGGTCTGGCAATGAATAATATGCTTATGCCTATGTCACAAGGACCTCCAAGCTAAGTTTGGAAACACTCACCACCAAGTTGACTGCAGGGTGATGCATTATTTTGGGTAAGAGTAATTCTTGGAGAGTATCTCCTAAGTTATATCAGAGTGGCCCTGGGTGTTGTAGAATAAGTACCCACACAGTCAAATTACAGAGTGCTGAAGTATCATTTTCTGCATCTCAGCTAAAGAAAACTGAAGAGCATTGGAGAAGAAAGATACAAGTTGATATGAAGGTCAAATTTTAATCCCATTTCTAGCTTGGATCATGCTGATCATACCAGTAATATCCATTGATGCAGATTGGTTCATAAGTTGATGATCAGACAACCATGCGCTCCATCCAATCTTACATGGGGAACAACAAACCAACTAAATGATACAGAAGTAAATGATCACACCCAGCTTTTTGCATCTGTTTGGAAGGAATGAACTGAAATAATCATGTGGCAGGTGATTTTACTGAGTGCTTAGAGATACGTTGGCTGCTTGGTGATGGCTGCGTATGATAAAGATAATAACAAACCACAACAGAGCAGGCAAGTTTCTGATACCATAGTTAAACAAATTGAAGGTTATAAAATCAAATGGTGGTCAATATAAAAGCCTTATGTAATCTTTGACATAATATTGTTTTTAAAATGATTCAGGAGTATGAAAAAAAATGGAACCTAAATACACTATCAAAGCTGAACTAAGCTACAAATACCCACATGGTAGAGGACAAGCATTCTACATTGCGGATAGCAATGGAAAAACTAAGTAGCAGATTCATGAGGTAATTTAGAAAACGTTTTTTGGGATATAGTGCATAGTTTTGTAATGGATCAGCTCTTACAATTTTTTAAGCAGTTTGGCTTCAAAGATTGACATATTAACTGGTTCTTGTATTCTAATCACAACATAGTCTTTATGAAAAAAAAATATGCTTTCAGTTCCTTATTTAATTTAAATCCTAAGTCCAATAAATGAGGAGGCATTTCAACACATCTTACAGGAGCACATCTTAGCCATCCAAGGATGTGTTTTGTGCTCACCTAGAAGGAAAAGAAAAAAAACAAAGTATTTGTCTTGGGCAATTTGACAAATAGAAACATAGTTTCACCTAAAACTGTGAAGTATTTTATATATTCTGAAATTAAATATTAAATTAACATATAAAACTCATAAACACCATAGTTTCACCTAAAACTGTGAAGTATTTTATATATTCTGAAATTAAATATTAAATTAACATATAAAACTCATAAACACCATTTTCCTAAGTTTTATTAAAACCTCAAATGCACATAGGACTAACATGGATTAATAAACAATGTCATATAGAATCTGATGATTGTATCGTCAGAACAAAAAACACTTAAATACAAGGTATTTCATTTGAAAATAGAAACTTGACCCAAATTACAAACAAACCAATTATTCTTCCTGGAACTGACAAAGACATTTTAGGGCTAAGGCCCAATTTTGTTGAGGGATACCAGTGAGACACAAGGTTTGATTCACTGAACCTTCAAATGCAATTATTCCCCAAATTACTTAGATTATTATAGTTTCAGTGATTGAAATTAATACTTCAAATGAGACCAAACATGTGACTCATTTCTGTGTCCTTGTTAGCTATGGTTTCTACTCATATTATTAGCTTGATAACTCCACGTCCAATCCTCTACATCCGTTTTTGGAGTTTAAAAGAAAGCTAGAACTCTGGCTTTTTTAGTACTATGGATTAATGATATACATCATGTCCATCAGCCTGCTTCCCCCCACCACTTAATCCTACCATAATGCTTTAACATTCTAAGTTAAAAACCATTTTCCCTTTGATAATAGTAAGCATTGATGGTAGACAATACATATAATAATAATTATGTGAAATAGCATATATATATTTACTCTTGGAACTATTTTTACTTTTTTTAGGATTCTGGGTTTTTTCACCATATAAAGACTAAGAAATGTGTTCCTTGTGTTTATGATTGATGGGTTGCTCATATGTTACACATTCTTCTTACTTCATGCATCATCAGCAGCCATCTCCAACATTTCATTCTTGAATCTGTCCTAGTTTTCTATTACCTGATTTTTACAGGTGATTCATGAGCCAGAATAAAAAAAAATACATATACCTTGGCTTATAGCAGGGCAAATATCCCTAGCATCCTTAGTGAGAAAGCTGGTTTTGTCCATCATATCCACACATAAGACATTGGTCGACAAAGTTATGTACAAAATGTGCTTTGTATAAAACCGTATTAATAGCATAATGTAGACAGATTAAAACCTACTTCAGTATGACAGACCCTTATATTAGTTTGCATATTCTTGACTCCATACCTTGTGACACCCCTTTTCCATTTGAGAACATTTTTGTACCTTTTTTCCCCAGTTGATATGAAGAATGTAAAAATTCTTAGAAGCTTCTTAGGATTAAAGAATCAAATAAGATGTCTTTCATTTGATTTTTTTTTGAGACCAGGCTTATAATTTTCATCAGTTGAGGGAGCTTCCAGCGAGAAACTTCCTGTACTAATACAGCTCCCCACTTTCTCTGCACCTTGAAGCCCTAGCGTGTTGCTGGGGGCACCTGAGAAATTAAGTAGTTTGACTAAAGTCACACTGAACATGGAGATTAGACATACTCAGGTATCCCTGACTCCAAGGCTGAGTCCTCTAGTCATCCTACCTCTCCCTTTTAAAAGTTTTCAAAGCAAAATTGAGTTTCATTATGCCCACAGTGAGTATAAAATGAGGGGTAGTGGAATCATATGTTTTTATTTCAAGGAGAAGGTTTTAAGATGTTAAGAACAGCACCTAAATTGAATTTTGAGACTAATGAAAATCAAAGAAAGGGGAAGCTACATTTCCTTAGCCTCACTGGCTGGTCCATTAGTCAGTCAACAAGCATTTATTAAGAGCTGTTTCAGGCAGTATGCTAGGTGCTGGGGATACAAAGAAAGGGGAGAGATGGCTCTGTTCTCAAGGAGTTCATAGTCTAATGGGCAGACAACATGAAGACACCTATAGACAGCCAAGCTATATACAGAATAAATTGGAGATAATCACCAGAGAGAAGGAACTTGCATTAAGGAGCTTGGTGAAAGGTTCCTTGCCAAAGGTGGAATTTCTAGCTGGGACTTGAAGGAATCCAGGGAGACTGGGAGATGGAGATGAGGAGGGAGAAAATGTCAAGAATGGGAAACAGCTAGTGAAAAGGCAAAGGGTTAGGAGATAGAGTGTCTTCTGTGAGGAAAAGCAAGGAAGAACAAACAGTGAACAAGTATCTTTGTTTTTCAGAGCTGAGCAGTTCTTAAACAGAACAATGTTGTTGGCCCTGAGACTTCAATGGGGGGGGGTTCTGAAAAAGCATAATGTCGTCTCACACTCTTTGGTAGTAGACTTAGGAGTAGTTTCCTCAGGTTTGTTTAGTCTATAAATGATATCATGGAAGTAACTACAATCTAGTATTTATAGCCAGGATTCAGATACAGGGAAACATCTTGGCTGATGAAACAATACCAAGGGAAGAGACATAGTTACAAGAAAATGCCAAGGTTTCCTAGCAGGACTGAAATTACAGGCATGCTCTAGGCTGGAGATCCTTGCCAGGTTTAAGGGCCTTCAGTTAATAAAGAACTAATAGTGGTAAATTACTAGAAAATGTTTTCAAAAATATATTAATAATTCATTTTTAATGGGTATGTATTATGTGAAATGCATGTGAAATCTAGTCCATCTGTAAACCTTTTATTTCATCTGATTTGGTAACAAAAATAAAATGAAAATAATTTTAAATTAGCAAACTATTTATTGAAATTTAAAAGTTAAAAACAAGTTAATAAAGCAATTAAAACATTTGGTTTAAGTAATGTCATTTATTTTGAAAAGGTTATAAGAAATAACTTTTCTGAATCTTTGAAGCAAGATTTTTCCCCCTGTTCTTTGATAGTAACCTACTGTTAATTTGCAGATGGTCTAGGGATTGAGCAAATAAATTAGTTTTGGCATGTAAGCCATATTCTATACAGTGAACTTCATATAGCGATGCTCAGAGGATTTACAAGATGAAGGAAGGAAGGAAGGAAGGAAGGAAAAGAGAGAAGGGGGAAAAAGGATAGAGCAAAGGGGAGAGGAAGGAAGAGGAAAGAGAACTTGAACCAAAAAATTTTGTTTTTATATATATGCCATATCAAGCGACTGGTCTATTGAGACATACAATGGGGGAAAACACAAATTAATGGTTTGGTATAGTATAAACAAAATAACCTGAAATAAATATCCCTTAAAACTGTAAGACAGACTAAATTTTTCATTCTTCAACTGTTAGTATTAGTAGGTAAATATTGCCTTCAATGGGAATCTTGTATGAGATACATGTCAAATAAGAATTTTATATTAAAATTTGACTTCAGTTAATATTTTTTAAATTGAAGTGCTAATGAATCTTACACATAGTAAAATATACATAAGATGTAGGGTTAACATTCTAAACCTTTATTAATTTGAAAAGTTCTCATCATGTACTCTCTCTGATTAAAAAAAAAGTTTATTATCTTTCTTGAAATAGGATGAATGATACACTCTTCAGAAGAGTCCTAACTATATCTAAATCTATCTTTCTATATTTATACACTTAGTACACGTAAGTAAGTTTTAGAGTGCTTTCAAATGAATGACATAAAGTTAGAATTCTTCGTCATTCAAGAAGGGATGGGCACATATTCACTTTTCAAAAAGTCAATATGTTCTATTCAATCTATACAAGAAAAACATATTATATATGTAATATATAATATGTAAAATATATTATATAATACACACACACATATATAAATGTATTTATAAGACTCCTCACATGCCACCCATGCCTTAGCATCCTTGCCTACCAAAATACTCACTCGTGCTTCGAGCAAATACATTCTATCATCAAAATCTTTCTTTCTAAACAAGCACCTCTGTCAGAAGTGTCTTAATTTCTTATCACAGAATTTCATCCACACAAGGAGCAATAAATAATTCATGTTGCTAGCTCTTTGTTGTGTGTCCCTGAACTGCACAGAGCTGGAAGGCTGACAGCTGTGTCAGGACAAGCACCAAAGATCTGACATGACAAGTGACTAACAAGTTTCTTTCAGTCTATAGTGAAAGAAGACAATGGCCCAAAGTGCAGAAACGAAATCCTGAGACAAAATGAAACTGCTTCTTTCTTTTTACCTAAGTGTTTGCTATGAGCTTATTTCCAACTCACAACCTCTGGTCATTTTATAGTACTGCCCAGCCCCCTTTATTCCTCACACTCGCCTGGCCATTTACGCCTGGCCACGGATCAATATGAGCAATTCTTGGAGAAATACGATGTCTCCATGACAACCGAGCCACAAATTCTCAGTGGGAGGCAGTGAGACCAGTAGTGAAATCTCAAGAGGCTTCCAGGCCTATAAGGCAAGATGTCTTAAAATGCAGGAACGGACAGAGGAAAAAGCCAGAGTAATTCATTCTTTATTACCAGTTTAATGATGTCCGATGTACAGAACAGTACTCACTTTTAAAGTTTGGATTATTTATCAACGCCTATATTTTTGAATCAATATTTCTTCTTTCTTGGTACATCCTTTTCTTTATATATCTTTATATATGATATTATATATATATATACACATATATATATATACATATATGGTGTGTTGTATTTAAATTCTACTGTAAATCCATTGAATTCTGATTAGAAATAATTGGTTTTGGGTGGATTGAAATTTGTCCATTTTTTTTTTCGCAAAGAAACACACCTGCTTTATTCTCATCTGGACCAGTACCATCTCACATGAAAATCTGATTCTCTTAGTTTCATTCCCAACAATAACAATAACAACAACAACAACAACAACAAAGAACTCTTGTGAATAATTGTTAGAACATCTTGTGGGACCACGGAGGTGCCAACCCAGTCAAAATAAAGAGTAACTCATTCCTTCATCTTCACTGTACAACTTTGACTCCCCTTCCCTCTTTTCGCCTCTATGGTATGTTTTATTTTAGGTATCAGGAACGATTTGCAAACAGGGCTAGATTTATAGTTTTGAAAGATGCCATTGCTTGGTTCTGCAAGGAGGCTAATGTGGAAGCGTGGTTCAGATCAGATGTGTGATAGCACTTCAGTTCCTAAGGAATCTTGGGGTAGTAGGGGGCGCTGAAATATAATCCCATAGTCACTGGTCCTGTTGGGGTTCTGAGATGACTTAGGGGACCTGACATGGATTTCAAACTGCACCTTTCACTGAAAATTAAATCTTGGTAGCTCTCCTAGGGGAAGGATCAGGGGACTGTTTGCAGCCGCCCCCTGTCAGCGAAGTCTACAATATTTGGAAATCTCTTAACTAAGCTGACAGGCCACAGAGAGGATGAATCAAAAATATGATACACAGATCAGCACACAAAGATGCAAGAGGGTATACAGAAGTCAGATAAAGCTGGAAAAGAAAATAGCAAGTGCTGGGAGTGGGTGGTGGTGCTGGGGAAGATATTTAACCCTTTCATTCATTGTAATGATGTGTCTTTTTATATGCATTGTGACAGTCCAGTTGTGCCAATCTCCTTGTATAAGCTGGTGTTGATCAGTTGTTATAATAAACAAATATACATAGACTTGTTTCCTTAATGCCTACTGGATCTAATGCATTTTTTCTTGCATTCCTTTTCAAAGGAATGAAACAACAAACAAAAAAATTCAAAATTTTGGCAAGAAAGTAAATTTTATCATACCTAGAAGGGCTGAACTTCTTGAATAGTATGGCTGTTTGGCTCCATTTGTTTCCTGTGAAAACCCACACAGCACTCTTGTGGTTCTATTTGTATCCAGAAAGTTCAATCGACTTCTGATGCTTCCCACTTGCTCTGAGTTTCCCCCCAATTGACTGATTTTCTACTTGACTGAAATTCATTGTTCTATTTTTTTAACCTTACAGCATCCTTCAGAGCTCAGAGCCTATCCTTAGGTTAACTAGTTTAGTCTAAAATTATTATAATGAACTAATAGAGTCTGCTTCCCTTTCAGTCTTAATGCCTTTGTACTTCGCAGGACTTGAATTCTTGATGAAAGAGGAAAGGATAACAGCTCCACACTCTGACCCCTGGAGGTGACTCTTAATTTGACAGTGCAGCTGCTAAGAGAAAACAGCGTTACAATGTCCTTCCCCACCCTCCCCCTCTCCTCTTTCCATAGACCCAAAAGCTGTGTCAAATTTATCATTTTATACTTGGTGACTATCTTTAAATGGCTTTCACCTGGGCTCTCTGACTCTTCTAAGACACATCTGTCAGGCATGTCCTCAGCTTCTTGGAAGTTTGCCGAGTTTGAGTGGCTGTCATGCTTGACCACGCTGACTGTAGCTATTAAAAACAAAGAAAAGAAAAGAAGAAAGAAAGAAAAAGATGAAATGAAAAGTGGTAATATATACACAAGCAACAAAACAACAAAACACACCACTGTTATTCAATACCACAAATCTTTCTAAGGGCATACTTTGTAAACAGAAATAATAAATTGAAATAAAATATATCCTCCCAGTATTTATTGGCAGACATGTAATTAGTTGAAAAATCTATAGATGTGACTTTATCTTGGACGAAAAATAAGTTCATGGCATCAGCTTAAAAGCTACAAAGTAGCAAAGTGATCCCTTCAAAGTAGAAATCGTATTTTTAATGCATAAATCTGAAAGAATAAAGTCAATTAGTGGCAACTGGACACACAGAGAAGACTATAAGCTTAGTTAATTAGAAATACTTTAAGTTGGTAAGATGAGTCCTCTTGCTACACAAAATCATAGCTATTTAATACTATCTGTGTAATGCATATTTCCATCTATTTAAATATATTTTTAAAAGAAAAAAACATAATATATCAAAAATATCTCATAAAATTTTAGCACTCACAAAATTTTATTTATTAAAACCATGGGAGACCCCAATTGGGTGTTTTGAAGGCTACACAGCTGGATGATATATCTTTTAGTATAGCTTTCCCTTAATAATTCTAAAAGGGAAAGTTGTTGTTCAGTAGTTTAGTTGTGCCTGACTTTTTGTGACCTCTGTGGCCCACATCACATCAATATTGTCCATGGGGGCTTTCTTGGGGAAAAAAAAAGGAAAGTACATTAAGTAAGGATTAATACATTAACTATGCCTAGTTGTTCTCTTTGGAGGAAAATATTTAAATTTCTTATTTGGCAAAAGTTATATCTTGATCTGGGGTACTAACCCCATAAACACTAAATTTTCATCACTCTTATTTGCTAGAAAATTACATTTTGTTGTTATGAATAAAGTTAATGAAAAAGTAATTTAAAATATTTCATCCATATTAGTAGTGGTATTAGTGATATGTGTATTAATAATTCTAGGCCAAACACTGTAAACTTACATCAAACACTGCCACCTACCCTCTTAGTAAATGTATAATTTTTCACTATTGCAATATCAGTAATCTTTGGATGATTAGTATAAGTTCTTGAGAGATGTTCCTATCCACATTCACTTTAATCTAGAAATTATAACTGAAATTATCTGAGAAAATTGATTTGTTCTCTTTTTAGTAAGGTTTTCCTTGGACATGAAAAATTAAACTCAAAGCATAAAAGTTTCTGTTGGTATTTTTTTTTTTTGCTCATTATGACCAACTTCCAAACAAAAGATGGTGAATAGCACAGTATGTTGAAATTTACAAGAAATGGTTTCTAGTACTGACTCTTCCACCAGTAGGCTCTTTGTCATGGAGGAATTTAACTTAGTTTTTCTGGGTTTCAGTTTCAGAATCTGCAAAATGAGAAGGTTGGGCACGTGTCTCTTAAGTCCATATCAGCTCTGACATTCTGGTATTGTAATGGCTTTTAGAGAGGCAATGAGTATAAAATCTAAATATCACTTAAATACAAAGGTGGCATGTATTTCATAACTCTTTATGATGCAAAAACTCTTGTTCTAGTCTATAAATGATGAGGAAAGTTGTTTTGGAGATTTGAAACAGTATCAATTACTCCAATATTTCGGTACTCCTGAGGACATCTGTGATCTCTTCAATGCAGGTATTCCATCAATGATGCAACTAGCATCAAGCCAGGATGGCTCACCTTGACCTTGTGTTCCTATAAGCTGGTTATACCTAACTTTGTGGTTTTTTTCACGTTCTCCTGACATCACATGATATAAATTAATAATAGTGATTCAATATTATTGTGATATAATAGAACATAGTGAATAGAGCTGGTGTTAAGAGTCAGCAAGTCCTGGATTCAAGTCAGCCTATGACACATACTAGCTGTATCACCCTAAGCAAGCTATTTAAACTCTCAATGCCTCAAGGAAACTCTCTTAGACCATAAATGTGAGAGCAGGTACCAATCTGCATCAGTAGGGACTTTTTTCCCCATCAAAAACACCAAAGAAATTACAAGTCTGTTTAATTAAAAAATCATTGAAATATGTTATTAATGCCAATCATAATGACAACCTAATAAATAGAAAACTATTAATATGGAGGAATAGATCTAGACCAACAGATTAATTATTCTAATGTGCAACAAAATGAAACAACAGGAGGCCACACTTCCCCATACAGAGAAAGGAGGTGTGGAAGGGGGAGAGAGAGGCTGTGTATCTGGCCAGGAACAAATGTAGAGAAAGTAAGGGACATCAAAGTAAAATTTATTTTATTATATTTTGAAATGGTTTCATGTACATTAACTGGCCCAATTATCTATCATGTGTTAATTTCAAGTCAGATGTTTGTTGTTATAGACATCTAACATTTTTCTTCAAGGATTGGTAAGTCCAATATGGATACCAACACAGATCCCCATCTCCTTCAGTAATTTAGTAGATGGCCAGTAAGGGTTTCTGGGGACTTGATATTAGCTATTCCCCCTGCATGAAACGCTCTGTTTCCTCACATCTACCTTGTACTTTGCTTGATTTCCTTCAAGGCTTAGATCAAATCCTACTTTCTCTAGGTTTTTTCCAATCCCCCCTCTCTTCCAGCTGCTAATATCTCCCTCTTTCAGATTACTTTTGTGTATTTGGTATGCATATTAAACGAACCTGGATATTTACATGTTGTCTGATCCATTAGGATCTATGTTCCTTAAGGGCAGACAGGTGCTTTTTGTTTCTCATCTCATTGTAATCCCAGAATTTAGCACAGTGCCTGGCACATAGTAAGTGCTTAATCAATGCTTTTACTAACTCAGAAAAATTCATCACCCTGCAGCCAAACTGGTGATTTGCTTCTCAAGCCTAGGCTTATCCTCAAAATGTCTATCAGCAGGTGCATGGTCAATGCCTTTCCAGCTTGGTAGAACTTACACTCTTCCACTGGTTTAGCCTTTTGAGAATACTAGGTCACCTCCCTGCCACAGCCGGGCTCTACTGTGGCATCAAAAACAAGTCTGCAAAGTATTTTGTACTCATCTGGAGGAACAGCCTCTGTCCATGAAAGAAGACAAAGCTTTCTGGCCTGTGAAAGAATTCAAACCACAAACCAGGATTTGATATAGCAAGTAATTCCAAGTATCACCTGAATTGTCTGTAATTCTAACCACTAAGCATGAAGTCAATATGGTGGGCGAAGTCAGAGCCTTAACATTGATAGTCCTCAGTTTTCAAACTCACAGCCTCTCTACTGTAGCTATTTACTTATGTGTATGTGCTTTTAATCTATAGGTGTTTTTGTTTTCTTTTTAATCTGAAAGGGATAGTTATAACTTCAAATCCCATTACACAGTAGGTTCTTTGTGTTGTCAAGATTTGCTGGTTTTTTATTACAGCTTTTCATTTTCCATGACAGGACCATAGGTTCAGATCCAAAAGACAGAGAGCTTTAAGGCACCCGAGAGATCACCTAGCCTGACCCTCTCATTTTATAGTTGAGGAAGCTGAACCCAAGACCTTAAGTGAATTGGCCAAGATCCCACAAGTAGTAAATATTAGATGGGATTTTGAACTCAGGGCCTTTAACTCAAGAGCCAGTATTCTTTCCACTAATCCATGTACATCTTACAAAATCATATTCTGCACTACTTAGTTTCATATGATGCTGTTGAAGATAATGGAAATGTGCAAAGTGCTTTAAGCATCATCAGATTGATTTATAGTACTGTCAAATTTATTAATCCACCTTTAGGTTTTAAGTCATTATTCATGAACGTAGAAATATTAATATGTGTAAGCCGTTGCGGGGTTTGCAATTGGAATTCAAGTCCTGGTTCTGCCACTCATCACTTGTGAGAGTCTAGGCAAGTCACTTAACCTCTCTGGGACTCAGTTTCCTAATTTATAAAATGAGAAAGTTGGCTTTGGCTGCTCGACTCTATATCTACAATCATAAAATCTCTGTTTTTTTGTTTCATTTTTTTTAATATACTTTCTGCTTCTACATCTCCCAAGGTCCCTTAAAGCATATACTTGCAACAATATCTAGAGGCAAATACCACAACTGTGATCACAAACATTATGGGCTTACACAATATGATGCCTTGCTTTGCCCAAAAATCATATGTAACTTCAGCTACACAGTTTTGGCTGAGTGGATGCCAGTAGATACCAAGATGTTTTTCTGTTTCTCCTACTAGTTTTTGCCATTCGGTTGTTTTTAGATTGCCTCCTGAATTATATTCTGACTTCCTCCAAGATGTTGTGGCATAAAATTGTGCTAATTTTATAGTCAGTAGTTTAGATTTGCTACAGAAGTAATCTTTCAGTTTTGCAACCTGAGATCAATAGAAATTACCAAATTGGGTTTTCTTATGTTTATATTCTCATGTAGAGGACTGATTTGTCAATTGCACCTTCTGTTTTACATATTCTGTTGAATCATGGTTCTCTATTGTTGGGTGTGATGGTTTCTGTGCTGCACCATTTTATGTTCAATCAGATCAATTATGTTTGAGAACCTATTATGTGCAAAGCACAGTTAGGTGTTGAGGGAATTTATAGAAGTTTAAGACATCATCACATTTGTTGTCAAGGAAAGGAGATAAGACTACTGAACATGAAAAGGTAACTAAAAGAGAGACAACTAACTAGAGAGACAGCATGGTGTAGTGGATAGAGAGCTGACATTGTAGTCAGTAAGATATGGATTAAATCTTATCTCTGAAAGATAGTGGCTGTGTGACCGGAGGAGAGATATTTAACATTTTAGTATCCATAAACAATAAATATCACAAAAAGTGATATTTGAGTTCAGAGGAAGAAGAGATCACTTCCAGTGGGAGTGACCAAAGAAGGTTTCATAGAGAAGACAGAAGCTAAATTGGGGCTTTGTAGAGGAGTCAAATTTGCGTAGTTAGAAAGGCATGGAGCAAGAAATCCAGGAAAGATGAATTAAACAAGGG